ATATAAATGCTGCTTGATTCTTGGACTGAGTGTGATATTTTCAGCATTGAAGACAGGCAGGAAATGGAGCAAATATGTCTAAGAGCCAATGGCAGATAAAAGCTTGTTCAAAGGTGCTTGAAATGTAAGCACTTTAGACGGGAAAAGTCAGCCAAGCAATCGTCCGTGAAAGAAACCAACTTTATAAATGTCTTTATTCATTTGTTGGACCTTTGCTCCACCACACTGGAGCCTTTTTTTTCCCTGTTTCTTTGCCAGTGAACTTCACCTGGTAAGGTGCAGCACAGTACCGCTCAACACTGCCCTCTGTCGGGGCTTTAGGGAAAAGCTCCAAAGATTCAACTGCCCAGTAATCAGCTTTAAAAAAACATGCAAGGAGAGCTTCTAATGGCTTTTCCTTTTCACGTGCAACCTTTCTTTTGTCGTATCATTTGCAGTCCAGGTCGATCTCTCCCTGTTGGACATTTATCCTCGTTTAAGGATTCGAGATTAAGCGAATCTGGACTGGATCAAGGAGAAACGGGAGAAGCAATCCATCCCAAGTGACAAGCTCATGAATACAGACTTTCTGGGCTCAAGTACAAGCGATATCAGCCTCGAAGGTGATTGTAAATTCTTATATAATTTTTTTTTTCTGGGGGTAAAATGTGCAACACGTGTAATGCTTCTGCACATCCCGCGCGTAAAAGCTGCTTATGTAGACAGTGAAAGCCACCAGATACAATTTACCATGCTTTAATTGCAGCAGAAAACGACGAAGACGTGAGTCAAACGGGAGTTTTGATTTTTGTTTGACAGTTTTTGCCGCAAATTAAGCTTCAGCCACACACACACACACACACACACACGCACGTACGCACACACAAATCTCTGCGCAATAGATTTTTCTTCTTTAGCAGTGCTCCTAAACTGCTATTCTCGGTGGACTTCAGGAGCACAAAGTAAGTTTGAGACAGTGCTACTGCCGGGCAGGCTGAGGCAGCTCCTGCAGCCCACAAATGCGCCTCTGATCCTGGGATGAAACGTGAGTGGAAAGTAAAACTGGCCAGGCATAAAAAAAAGAAAGAAAGAAATGAAATAAAAAAAAACCCTTCCCTTAACAACACCTTGGAACGGACAAAAAACGTTTAAGCCTAAATAAAGAAAGTGAGGAAATGTTGTAGAAAGTGTTTGCGATTTTATTTTATTAATAATAAAAAGAGCAAAAAAAAAAAAAAAAAAAAAAACAAAATTATGCACATGGTTTTGTTTGGAGAGGGGGGGGGGGGAATTG